TCCCCCGGAGGTGGGAAGGGCACCCGAGGGGAGGCTGTGTGGGGCACTCAGGCTGGTGGGTCTGCCGGCGGAGAGGCCAGGGGCGGTGGCCTTGGTGCACCCGGGGCGGGGCTGCCGGGCCTCACGCTGCTTTGCAGAGACACTCGCTACCCAAGCAGAACGGGGTGGGGGGTTGGGGGGCGTGGGGGAGGCTGGTGGGTGGTCGACCATCCCCCGGAGGTGGGAAGGGCACCCGAGGGGAGGTGGGAAGGGCAAGGCACACCTGGGCCGCCTCTCTGTTGGCCAGCCCAGCTTGGCACCGAGTCCCAAGTCAAGGCTTCCTTCTGGTCGAAAACAGAGCCCACACACAGCTTGTACCTGTGCCCCGCAAAGACTCCCCCACGTTGGCAAATGGAGACGCAGGCACAGACCAGCTTGTGCACGTCTCCTATGTGGAGAATCGCCCTAGCAGAGGGTGCTTCCACGCAGCCCCAGCCCCAAATTGCCTTAACAGGGAGGGAACTTATTTCAAACAAGACATTTATTAGGTGGCGGAAGGATAGTGACGGGCACAGGGACGGGAGCCTCGAGGGTCTGGAGCCTGGGATCCTGTCTCTGCCCTGGAAAAGCTGCCTTTCTTGTGTCCTCTTGAGAATGGTGTTCCGGGAGGACTTCTGCCGGGTTCCTGCCTGCAAGCAGTGCTGACGTCTTGGTCCCCAGGCTCCTAGAGGGGTAGACACTCAGGCTGGTATTCCTACCCCCCAGACTTCCCCACCTCAGCGTCTCTCTCTCTCCCCCATATTGCCCAGTCCTGTCCAGTGCTGACTGGTGGTCTTCTAGCCCAGGGTAGGACCTGTCACCTCCCAGAAACCTTTCCAGCCCAGACTCACCTCTGCTGGTAACCCCAGAACTCCCAAATCGGCAGCATTTACCTGTGAAGAGAGAACAGAGTCTGTGAAATGATCTGGGCACCAGTGGCCCAGGTGTGGGATACACATCCAGGGTCTATCCAACCCGTGCCAAGCCTTAGGGAGGCCCAGACTCAGTGGCTAAATGGGTCCCCTGGCCCTGGCCACTCACTCGAGTTGCTGCAGTCGAGCCGCCTCCTCCTGCAAGCCCATGTCTGTGAGCAAATCTGCAGCGAGCTTGGCGCTGAAGTCCTCACGGTAGAAAGAGACCATCTTGTCTGTGAGGTCCACCACGTCCAGCGGCCCGAGCGCCCCCCGGGGGATGACCCGAAAACCCTCTGGCAGCTTAGCTGCCCCCAGCTTCAGCTTGAACTTCTTGAGCTCATCTGCAGTCAGGTTCTCCAGAGTCTCCAGGATGGCGTCTCTCTTCTTTCCCATGGCTCAATCCTGATCCTTCTGAACCGCTTGGGTCCCTCACCTACAGATGCCTGTCCTTTTCTACAGTAGGTGGGGCGGTGGCCCTGGAAGGTGTCCCAGGGAGGAGGCTGACCTGGAAGCTGGCCAGGGGAGACTTAATCCAATCATCTTCTGTCTAGTTGGACCAGGCAGGGCCACATTGGCTAACAGTGTCGAGGATGTTTCCAGTATCCTGCAGGAGGGGGTGTGTGTGTGGGGGGCAATTTGTCACACCCATGGGCGAGGCATGAATGGCTGGTCCCATGACAACCTGGAAGTCATATAGGCAGGAGGGAGCCGGTGGGCTGGAGGGCTAGGCACTCCCAGCTCAGGGGTGTGGGCAGGAGCTTCTGGGGCCTCCACAGTGCATGCATCTCAGGAGTCACAAAGTGCATGGTCTAGGGCAGGAACTGCCCTTAGAGGCCATAGTTTGCAGGGAGGCTGATTGGGTATTCTGCTCAAGTGCTGCTTTTCAGTAGAGGGTGAAGGCCAGAAGTTGCATTGCTCCTTCACAAACCCCACACTCACATGCACACCCCCTGAAATCTGCTGTGTACCAAGCCCTGGACCATGGAGAAGACCAAACTGCATTTATGTTAGCCATCCCCCAGAGACCTGTGCTGAGGGGCTGACAGCTGAAGGCTTGGGAGCAGGGCAGGCCAGGCTGGGGCCGGTTACTGAAGGGGCGTTCGGACAGTAGCACCAGTCTGCCGAGGGCCTGGATTTCTGTCCGTGGGCTTGTGGGGTGGTGAGATGCCGGTCAGGCTGGAGGAGGCGCTGGCTGGAGGCCGAGGCAGAAAGGGTAGGCTAGCGTGGAGCTGTGGGTTGGGGGTAGCAGTGGCCCCTCTTTATGCCTCCAGACGCAGCTCCCGCAGCAGAAGGTGCAGCTGCAGGAGGCCTGCACCCGCAAGGAGAAGAATGTGGCCACGCTGGAGCATCAGCTGGTGGAGGTGGAGGTGAGGGCTCAGGTGGGAGCCTGGGGAGAGGGGTGCAGGCTGAGGGTTCCCTGCCAAGCGCTTCTGCCCATCTGCCCCGTAGGAGACAGTGCGACAGTTCCGGGGAGCGGTGGCGGAGCAGCTGGGCAAGATGCGGGTGTTCCTGGCTGCCCTGGAGGACTCACTGGACCGAGAGGCCGAGCGTGTGCGGGAGGAGGCAGGGGTCGCCTTGCGGCGGGAGCTGGCGGGCGTGAACTCTTACCTGGAGCAGCTGCGGCAGATGGAGAAGGTGCTGGAGGAGGTGGCTGACAAGCCACAGACCGAGTTCCTCATGGTGAGCGCTGGGTGACCTGTCCCCGCCCCTCCCGGACTGGGGCTCCAGAGATGTCATCCCATTGTGAGAGAAGGGGAGAAGGGCCCTGTGAGGGGCCGCCAGAGCCAGGCTCGCCTGGGGAGGACGGGGCCCCGGGCCTGCTCTTCTGGTTGTTCAGGGCGGGCGCTGCCCGAGGACCCTGTAAGTGGGTGCCCGCCTGTCACGGACGTCCTTCCAAAGCAGCGTGGGGCCTCTAGGGAAGGGATGCCTTTTCCTAACTCACGTGAGGTGAAGGGCTGGGGTGTGTTGTGTTCTGGGTTTCCTTCAACTTTTCTGACCCTGCCTGTCCCCACCCCCAGTATTCCTGGGGTCCCCTCGATCCTCAGTGCCCAGTGTCCCCTGCCTGTCTCACTCCCTTCTCTTTTTCTCCCTGTCCAGAAATACTGCCTGGTGACCAGCAGGTGAGTGCAACCTGGCCCGCCTCTGCCCCCCTTTGCCCTCACAGTCTCGGGGACACCGGCCCACCCTCTACTCCGATCCAGCCACTGCCATGTCCCTGCGCTTTGTGTTGAAGGCACACGTGACCCTGACCTGGTCTTTAGCGGGGCCCTCCCAGGCGGCTGCTGGAGACGGAAACCTGGGCATCATGGCAGCTCCGTGCTGCCTGCAGGGCAGCGGGCGGTCAGGGAAGACACCCAGAGGGCTGTGCTTGAGCTGGGCGTGGGGAGTGAAGGGTTGGCTGGTAAGGAGACAGGGGCAGGGCGCTGCAGATCGGGGGCACAGCAAGAGCAGGCTGGTGAGTGGGCGAGGAGGGGAGGCAGGTGGGGGCAAACTGAAGAGGCTGTTTCTTTCTTAAATTGTGGTAAAATAGAACATCAAGCACACGGACGTAAGCGTTTTCAGCATACGTCTGAAGTTTGGTGGCATTTGACACACTCACGTTGTGGGACCATCACCACCATCATGTCCACAATGTTTTCTCTCTCCAAACGGAAACTCCAGCGGGGAAGCTTTAAATCAGGCTTTAAATCCTGTCCCCGCCACCGCAGGCTGCAGAAGATTCTGGCCGAGTCGCCACCTCCAGCCCGTCTGGACATCCAGCTGCCTGTCATCTCGGACGACTTCAAATTCCAGGTGTGGAGGAAGATGTTCCGGGCGCTGATGCCAGGTACGGGGAGGGAACAGGTTGGAGACAGGAACCTGTTCTTGACTGTGTGGCTCCTGGGAGACTCCAGCAACACATAGAGGGCCCCTTTTTCCCAACTGGGGAGGTCATCCAGGAAGGTGCCTATGGCTCTCTTATCTTTGGGGTTCCCCTGTAACCTCAAAACTTGCTTTGGGGGGAGGACCTTAGAGGTGTGAATTTATAGGTGGGTGGGTGACATGGTGTGCATCCAGCTGGAGCTGCTGCTGGCGGGGTTTGGGCCTGGGTGCGAGCACTGACTCCCCGCGTGACCCCTCTCTGGTTCCTGCCCCTTCTGGAGATGATAGTCTCTGTTCATGGGGAACGGGGGTGTTCAGGATCTGAAGAACTGAACCCTGGGAGACTGGCCGGGGTCAGGCATGGCTGTTGGTGGCTTGTGTCTGGGGAGAGCCAAAGCTCAGCTTTCCCTCCCTACCCAAAAGCGAGAGAGCACTGGGGTGCAGAGCATTGGGAGACACCCCTACACCATTGTGCACAGGGAGGTCACACAGCTGGGTGGGGTCTGCACTAGGCTTCCTAAGGGTGACCAGGCCCTTTTCTGGGCCTCAGAAGGTGAGTTACACGCCTTGAATCCACTTCGTCCTCCTCAAAACTGGCCCGGTCCTATGGTCTCATTTCACATTTGAGTTAACTGAAATCCACAGCCCACAGGAGTGAGGTCTCTGCCCAAGCCCGAGCTGAGGGGCTAACTTGGGGCGAAAGCGCTGGCTGGCACTGCCGGCCAGCATGCAGGCTGACCCCTGTCCTTCCGGCAGCGCTGGCGGAGCTGACCCTGGACCCCAGCACAGCGCACCCGAGCCTGGTGCTGGCTGCCTCGGGCCGCCGCGTGGAGTGCTCGGAGCAGAAGGCGCCGGCGGCCGGCGAGGACCCGCGCCAGTTCGACAAGGCGGTGGCGGTGCTGGCGCACCAGCTGCTCTCGGCGGGCGAGCACTACTGGGAGGTGGAGGTGGGCGACAAGCCGCGCTGGGGCCTCGGCGTGATGGCGGCGCAGGCCAGCCGCCGCGGCCGTCTGCACGCCGTGCCGTCGCAGGGCCTCTGGCTGCTGGGGCTGCGCGAGGGCAAGGTGCTGGAGGCGCACGTGGAGGCCAAGGAGCCGCGGGCGCTACGCACCGGCGAGCGGCGGCCCACGCGCATCGGCGTCTACCTGAGCTTCGGCGACGGCGTCCTGGCCTTCTACGACGCCAGCGACGGCGACGCGCTCGAGCTGCTCTTCGCCTTCCACGAGCGCCTGCCGGGGCCCGTGTACCCTTTCTTCGACGTGTGCTGGCACGACAAGGGCAAGAACGCCCAGCCGCTGCAGCTCGTGGGGCCGGAGGAGGCCTGAGCCCTGCGTCCTGGGGAGGGGCGCAGAGCCCTGGGAGCCTCGGCCTGGAGGGAGAGTGGGAAAGGGGGTGCAGTGCGGGCTAGGGTTTGGGGCTGGGCACTTAAAGAGTCCTGAGAAGTTGGGGCTTTGCATGAAGAGGGTTCTGCGTGTGAGTGAGGGATGCAGGTGGTTGTGGGGGGCGGCACGTGTGAGTCGGCTCAGTTAGGAAATCTTACTTGGAGAACACAGGTCAGGGGTTCCAGGAAGAAACTGAGGTGCAGGGAAGGAAGGAAAAGAGCTCAGGGGTCTGGGGAAAACTGAGGGAGTCGCTGGCGGGCTCTGTAGACTAAGAAGCCCCTTTAGTCTCATACTGTCCCCCCAAGGCCTCAGGGAAGGGGTGTTTTGTCCCGGCTCCCCGCTTCGAGCATGCCGCAGGTTCCCACGTAGAGCACAGATTGCTGAGTCCGGTCAGTAGGTCTCAACCAGCCCAAACCTGTTCCTTTCTAACAAGTTCCCCGGTGACCCCGATGCCGCGGCTACAAGAGGGATCACAGACACCCCACAAAAGGCGGATGAAGGCGCGCCTCTGCTCAGCCACCTGCCCTTGTGCAGGCCGGTTGTCAGGTTGCTGTCCCTCTCAGGCGCTGAAGGCCATTCTTCTATTGTACGTGCCTCCATTCAACAGCCGCATTTTGGGGTCCATGCTGGAGAATAGAATGGTCCCCCTCTGTCCCTTTGCCTCTGGAATGTGTTACTGGGTGTCTGGCACTGAGGAAGTCCCCCAAGTTGCTAACCAGGCCAAAGGGCCCAGCGTTCACCCCAGCCCTGACCCTCATGCTGTGAAGAGCCCCCTTGCCCCGCTGACCCCTCGCTAGTCACTTGCCTTCTGTGGTTCTTGCTCAAAAGCCCACTTCTTGGGCCCTGGAGGTGACAGCTACTGTTCTCCGGAGGGGGAGGCCTTTGTGGATTCAGGTGGCAAGTAAAGGAGGCTGCCCCCCCCCCCCCTCAGCGAGGATGACGCCTGGAGCTCTTCAGCTGGCAGGCAGGCTGCTGTGGATTGGGAAAGGGGGAGAGGCCCCTGCTCCTTGGAGCCAATGTGAGGATTTTCTGGGGGTGGGAAAATAGTAGGAGGGGTAAGAAAGGCCTAAAGACCTGACTGGGGGTGGGGGAGTCACTCCTCGTGGTGTTTCCCAGAGGAAGGCCCGTTGGATCTTGGCTCTGAGACAGAGAATTAATTTGAAAAGTTCTTTCATGCTTGAATACAGAACAATAAAGTAAGTGAATGCTTTGGTTGTAAATCCAGCACCATTAACAAGTCTTTGTATGCTGACTCCTTCCTTATTAAATCTCTGTGGAGATAAATGACTTAAGGCTGGGTGGTGACCTCTTGGCTTCCACTCTTGACTCATCATTTTCTAAAAACCCAAATGTGGTCATGTCATTCATTTGCTCTAAACTTTCGAGTGATCCTCGTTGCCCACGGAGAAGGCTCCAGATGTCTGGCTCAGCATTTGGGTTGTCTGGCTCAGCATTTGGGGTACTTGCTCTTCTCTAGCCTCCTGTGTACTTTGTGCCAGGGTGCATCATCACTGGTCAGACTGAACTTCCTACACTCCCATGACACAATTCTTCTAGCAGTGGCTTTTCCCTCTCACTCAAACACCATCATTTCTTATCCTCTCTTGGCCCCATGCCTCCTTTACAGGAGGCATCTCTGAAGAGCCCCCATCCTGGGTGTTGGGGGAGGCTGGGCATTATCCAAGCACCCAAAGCCTTTTCTAGGGAAAGGGGCTCCCTGAGAAGCAGTTGCCAAGACAAGATTAAATGTGTAAGGGCTATATGAGGGAGGATGGCCGCGTGAGAGGACAGGGGCTGTTAGATTGTCATGCCAGTTGACCCCGAGTGAAGGAGAGGTAGGCAAGTTTGGGTGGGGTGGCCTCAGCTGTCATGGGGACTCCTGCAGCCTGGCTGCCCCTTGCAAGGGCCCTGCGTGGCTACGGCATCTACTCCTCGGCCGGGAGCAGCCTGTGAGGCCCCCTGGGCACAGGTGCCATCCCTCTGCAGCTGCAGCCTCAGTCACTTGCCCCTCATTCAAGTTACATGAGGAAACTTTCTATTCCCGGCCAGCACAGGTTCTCCGGCTTCAGCTGCATGCATTGTGGGAAATGACTCCCTGACCTTGCCCGTGGCTGGTGGTGTGCCAGGTGGGTGAACCATATGTCATCTTGATGGGACCAGTTTGCGGGAATGCTGCCTCATCCGCACATTTCATGTTGCATGGCAGCCACCTGGCCCAGGCAGATGCTGGGCGTTAAGTCCAGGAAAATGTGAGCTGGAAAGTACCAAAGGAGCAGCCGTTTCTCCTTTAGCGCTCCCCCTGCTGGCGATTCTGGGAACCAGCGTAACCGGTGCTCAATGGTTTCTGTGCGGTAATTTCCTGTACAAAAGACGACTGTGGTGGTGGCACAGGGGTGATTTGGTGATGGGAAACCCATGGGGATTACAATTGAGATGAAAAAAAAATGTGAAAAATGATGTAAAAATAAACTTTAAAAAAAAAAAAAAAAAAAAGACGACACCTGCCAGGTGCTGACCTGCAAGTAAAAACATTTTGAAGAGCTTGCTATGTGTCAATGACCTTATACCCATATCTCATTTGTCTCACTTATCCCTGCAACACGAAGTCTCCCAACAACTCGCTCTCCACTCAGCTCTGTCGCTCTGCCCCTGGGGTTCAAATATCCCCTGGGCAACTCATGGTACAGCCACAAGGACCCGAATCCACAAGTGCATGGGGCATCTTGACATATCAACGTTGTGCCAACATGATTCTCATTATATGCTGGGTGGTGGAAAAGTTGTGTAATTTACTGACAAGTAGGCACTGAAAATATGTTTGTGTGGAAACACACCTAGTGGAACACAGAATCTACATGAAAATTTGATATTGAACAAGAGCTGTCCACAGAGTTTTGCATTGGTGCTGACTGTGGATTAGGCTTCCAAATGTTCATGGAATGTTCTTCAAATTATTAAAAAAATATGAATGATGCAAAAATATACCTAAGAACATTTTCCAGATAAGGAACGTTCTGTATAACCAGTGCCGTCAGTGTGAATGTCTTCTCTCCCCCCACATTAGGAGTAACTCCTGTTGTCTGGGTGTTGTTTTTCAGGACTTATGGTACCGATAGAGACCCATGGAAAAGAGACAACGATGTTTCTTTCCATATAAATGTGCCAGGCTGCCCATGAACACAACCTACGGTTCTTCCCATTCCGTGACATGCCTTTTTCATTTGGTCAGTTATCAGTGGATTTGCTCACATTTGCATAGACCGTGGTGCTCTGTAATGTCCACTGAACAAACACGCCCCTGCTTACTTAAGTATTCTGTAGTGAATTGAGGGCTTTGCAATCACAAGCAACGCTCAAAGGCAGACGGGTGGAGGGGCAGTGGTGGAGTTTCTGGGGTCTCATGCATGTGCCTTTAGAATGCTAGTGTTCCCATTGTCTTGTGGACTTGGGGAAAAAAACGGCCAATGGGAAGGACTATGTGGAGGTGGGGCTCACAGAGGGAAGCGCTGGAAGGGGTTACTCTAGCAGCCAGCTTCTCACTGGTCTCAGCCACGGTCAGGAAGACCGCATCGCTTTTGGCCATGTTCAGTCAGTCTCATTCTCAGACTCAAAAAGGCCCGGCCTGGTGTGATTCAAAGTTTCAACACCGCATTCGATGTAGATGGCCTGAAGTGGGAAGGGTGGGGCACCTGGTCCTTCATTCTCTTCTCATTCTTTCTTCTTCCGGGGAACTATCCCCTGCCGGCTCCAGGGTGGGGCTCTACACGGGCTCTGGCATGACACCTGCTTTCAGGGGAGGTCTCCCTGGGCTCTTCCGGGGTGATGTGGGTGCACTGGGACTGGCCCCTGTGACAAGCCCTCAGCAGCCGCCTCACCTGCCTCTCCCCAGGTGTTAGCGCTGGCAGTAGATGCAGCCGCCGTATCCCTTTGCCAAGGCAGTGCTGTGCGTGGGCTCCCCTGCTCTTGGCCACACTGCCCAGGCCCCCCGGGCACTCTGGGGTTGTCTGTCCCTCCCCTGAAACCCAGCTCTAGCCCTCAAGTTCCTGTGTCAGGTTCTCCTGAGAACTCGCCAGCCTTCACCTGGGCCTCCCAGCTCCCACCACCCAGGGCAGGAGAGGGACCTTTGGCCTCCATGAGGTTCTTTGGGAACAAGCTCTCACTTGTTTTGAGGTGGAGCTCAAGGGGGAAGCCCCCCAGCTCCCTGTTTCACCCAGGTGGGTACTGAGAGTGGCACTTTCCAGGCTGGACTTGTTTGCTCACGAGCTGCAGAAACTAGGCCTGACGCCTTGCTCGCCTCTGCTTTGGGCTTTAGACAAAAATTCCATCTCTACGTATTTGCACTCCAGACACATGAGAATAGAGTTGCTCTAATTCTTCTTCACTTCTCAGTATTAGCAGACTCATTTTTTTTTCCTTTTCTTTAAAAAAATTATTCATTTTGCATAGAAGAACTGGGGTATAGACCAGAGGGGTGTGTGTGTGTGTGTGGGGGGGTGACAGGACTCACCAGAGACAGACTGGGGGGCAGAACAGATGGATCAATGAAGTACACTGCTGAGGGGAGCAGCGGCTGAGACAGATGAGGTCTGTGGCACCTTGTGGGTCAGCTCCCTGGCCGGGATTTGAATTCAGGCCATAGTTTCACTAAGACAGCCCCGAGGCCACTGAGGAGGCCCTCTTTTTCCTCCTTTTCCTTTTTGGCACATTTCTCAGCACTTGTATTTACTGACGGGTCATGGTTCCTTTTCTAAACACTGTCTGTTCTCATCACTTGCTCCTTTACCTGAAGGTCAGGGTGGCTCTCTGTCTTCTGTGCACATACTTGTGTTACATGCTCGTGTTCTGGGTGCTTCCTCCTAATCAGACCACTTGTCTTTTAGCTTGTTGATGGAGTGTGTGTGTGTGGGCTTTTTGGACCTGGGTCTGTAGGACTTTAAGGGTGATGAATTCTCCCCCAAATGGCTAGGGGTTGGGCCAGGGTATCTGGGTTTCTGGGAGACGAGTGCAGGTGGGGAAGGGGGCGCAGGGACAGATGAAGGGTTTGGGGACATGGGGAAATGCCTCAGCATTCTACAAAAGCCAGGAACCAGAGAAGGCTGCCGGCCAGACCAAGGGCCCTGAAGGAAGGGTGAGTGGGAATCGGGGTGGCGTCCTAGAGGGGGTGTTGTTGGCAAAGACTGCACACCTGTGGCCATAGGCACCTGTGGTGCACTGCATCTGCCTGGCTTTTGATCCTTTCTTTCTTTCTTTCTTTCTTTTTTTTTTAAAGATTTATTTATTTATTCATATAGAACTGGGATACAGGCCAGAGATGCGGAGGGTGAGAGGATTCACCAGAGACAGAGTGGGGAGCAGAACAGGCAGATTGACGAAGTACACTGCTGAGGGGAGCAGCGGGCGGGTCAGGTCTGCCGCGCCATGTGGTCACCTCCGGGGCAGGCGGGGATCGAACTCATGCAGAAATGGCTTAAGCTTCTTAGTGCTGTGCTTTAACCCGCTGCGCCACCAGGGAGGGCCTTGATCTTTTCTTAATAGGAACTTCAGCCAATTGCTT